CCAACATAATCAAGGCACTATTTTATCCTAGAATATTTATTGTTTTCCCTCTAATTACAGAATTCACACTTGTTAATGCAGAAAATTCAGCAAGCACAGAAAAACACAAAATAAAATCACTTAATGGAGATGCTCTTTCACAGAAAAATAGATGTTAGCATGTGATGCCGTTATTGCTCTAATTGTCCTGCGTGTGTGTGCACGTTACAGATGCTCTTGTTATTGTTTGTGTGTGTGTTTTTTTAATATATCTTTATTGATTTCAGAGAGCAGAAAGGAGAGGGGGAGAGAGAGAAACATCAATGATGAGAGTGTGTCATTGATCAGTTGCCTCCTGCACGCCCCCGACTGGGCATTGAGCCCGATCTAATTGCTGATATGCATTGAGCACGTCTCCTGTGAAGGCAGTTCAGTTACGTAATTTATATACATCATCTCAATTTTTTTTTAATCCTCACCTGAGGATATTTTTTCCATTGCTTTTCAGAGGGAGTGGCAGGGGGTAGAGAGAGAGAGAAAGAGAAACATTGATGTGAGACACATCGATTGGTTGCCTCCTGCATGTGCCCCAACCTGGGCTGGGGATCGAGCCTGCAACCGAGGGTATGTGCCCTTGGCTGGAATCGAAGTCGGGACCCTTCAGTCCACAGGCTGATGCTCTAACCACTGAACCAAACTAGCTAGGGCTCACTTGTTTTTATTGCTTTAAATCCAATTTCTCTCTTTCCCCCTCTCCCTCCCTCCCTCTCTTTCTCCATATATATGTGTGTGTGTGTGTATGTGTGTGTGTGAATACAGTCAAGTTGTGGAAGAATCTATGTAATATATATATATATATATGTGTGTGTATATATATATATATATAAAATACATATATGTGGACTGCCCAGTATTCCATTGTCAGTTTACCCTCATTTCCTAAACAGTTCTGAATGGCTACATGTTTAGGTTGCTTTCAGATGTCGCTTGGTGAAAAGCGCTGTGAAGATCACTGTGCACAGGTCCCTGGGTTAGTCTCCCGTGACTGCATAGGGCGCTGTTTGAGGCATTTCATCACTCCCCCTACCTCCAGTGCTCAAGCAACAGGAAGCTCATTGGGCTTGATTCTGAAGAATTTGGGCGGTATTACAGCAGGAGGGGTCCCTGGAAGATGAATGGTCCATCGGCTGCCACGTGTCTCAGAAGTTGCTGGTTTATGAGTTTACTATGTGTGATGCCTATGAGTACAGTGTGGACCTCTGCAGTCAGGAGGTGGGTGGGGAGGAGGGCAGGTGGGTCTGTGGGAACCTGGAGTGCTGGCAGGTAACAGACTCAGCTGCTGAGACTTAAGAGGCCCAAATCCCGTGGCTTCAGGGAGAGAGGTTTATTTCTCCCTCGTGTTAACAGCCCAGAGGTCTGTGATCAGGGCTGGCAATGGCTCTGCCCTTGAACTCACCTGGCTTTGACCTTGATGTGTGGCTGCCTCAGCTCCCATCACCCCCTGCGCCCAGCCCGAGGACAAGGGGCCAGCTCAGAGGACAGCAGCAGTTTCCTGAGGTCTGTCCAGCAAGGCCACACATCCTGTCCCTCTCCATCTGCTGGAACTTAGTTCCCCACGATCAGATACTGCAAGGAGGCTGGGAAGTGGATTCTCTCGCTGGGTGGCCCTGTGCTCGCTAAACATTAGGTGCCTGGACTGGGGCCACGCAGCATTCTGGTCACTCCCGGCTCCTGGGAAAGTACCCAGAGGCCCCAAAGTGGTGTCTGCCTCAGGTGTCACATTTGGTGACTACATGGCTGGTTTGCGATGAGGAAGCCAGTATTTCAGCCGACGTGACAGCGAGGAGGGCAGTGTTGCACTGGGTGGAGGGTACCGGTCCCAGCCCAGGGTAGGGAGTGGTCCCAGGCTGCTAGCAGACCTGCAGAGCTCCTGAGCTGCAGAGGGCCGGCCTTGGCCCACCCAGGGTAGCTCTGCAAGGAACCAGCTTGCTGTCCAACACACCTGGAGGGTGACCAAGCACGGCCACCTGAGGCAGTTGTTCTCTGGAGGACTATTTTCTCTGGGCCAACAGGAGGGAAACTGTAGGGAGCAGCTGACCTGGGTTAGTGGGTGAATTGGGAGCATCTGAGGACAAGTGGAGGAGACACAGGGACTCAACTAAGACTAGCTTGGCTAGTTAGCTCCAGTGATGGGCGGCTGGGGTGCCAGGTGTGCTGAGTGACATGGTGGCACAAGCAGCAAAAGGGGAAAGACAGACCTGGCAACCCACCAGCGGTCCAAGCTTGTGGTCCCAAGCAAATCTCCAGGCCACCCAGTCCTCACCTGTAGTGACTGGTGCCTGCCCTGCCTGCATCACTAGGCCGTCAGGCAGCTGACGTGAGACGCCCATGAACTCAGAGCACCCTGTGACCAGGGCTGTCACGTCAGGATTGAGGGCCCTATACTAGGGAGGGGCTTCCCCCGAGGGCTGGTGGGGCCAGTCATAATGAGCTTTGAGGGACCAGGAGTTCTGAACACGCCCTTGGAGGCAGGAGACTTTGCAGGCAAGACAAGGTGGGCTTTGTCCAGTGCCCACTACGTGTCATTTTAATCAATCAGTCCTTGGGGTCAGATGGTCCGGAGAAGTTAGATGTCACCGAGCCTGTAACTAATACCACTAAGAGCAGCTTTGCACGTCTGAGGCCTCTGTGAAGCTCTGGACTCTCACCTTCTCTCTCAGCCCTGGACGTGGGCGTTACCACTTCCATGACAGTTGGGAGAGACCCAGGCTCAAAGTTGGGGTGTGTCGCAGCTGGAATGGCAATGGCCCCTCTGGGTGGCTCTGAGTTATGGCCTCCGCCACCAGGCCTGTGTCCCCGTGGGGGAGCAGAGCAGCTGAACCTAGGTCCTGGGCTCACTTAGGGCATCACTCCTCTGACTCACGGGACTTTTGGAGACGGTGGAAGTTGCAGGGCCTGGCTGGTGAGAGGTTATCCAGACTTGTTGAGTGAACTTTGTGGAGGTTCTTCCTCTCCCCCAGGTCTCTACAGTCCCGGAGGGGTCCTATTCCGGGGGGTCACCCCTTCACCATGGCTGCGAAGGTTCTGGTCCAGTCAGGCCTCCTTTGTGAGCTCAAGTGCAGCAGCCACACCTGTGCCAGGTGGTCTCTGTAGAATCTTCTCAGGCCATTTCAGAATAATTGGAATTATCACAGAGGCCAAAGGTTCACTTCCTTTTGGCTCCCAGCCTGTCGTCTGACTGGAGAGGCCTTAACCGGCAGGACCAATGGGCACTTGGGCCAAAGAACAGTGACTTCTGGCAGTCAGGGCCCCTTCCCCTAGAGCAGCTGCTGTCTGGGTGGGGCAGGAAATGTGGCCATTCAGAGGGGGTGGAGGGGGAACAGCAGGTGAGAAACTGCTCGGCTGCCTCCCCTTGCGAAGTGCACAGCTCTGACATGCACCTCGGCCCCCACTGAAAGCTGGTTAGTGCAGCTGCCTTTAGACTCTAGATTCTAGAATGGAGACATCTTTTTGGCCAGAATCTCTGAGAGCCTTTATAAAACATTACTGCCTTTATACTTACTGGGATACCATGGAGGGCAAGATTGTAAGACAAATTCCTTTGGGTTCAAACCAAGTCAAAATGCATATGACGGAAACATTTGTTAGCATAATTGGATGAGTGTCCTGACTGGTGTGGCTCAATTGATTAAGCGTCGTCCTGTGCCCCAAGAGGTCACCAGTTCGATCCCTGGTCGGGGTAATGTGCAGGAGGCAGCCAATAGATGTTTCTCCCTCACATCTCTTTCTCTCTCCCTAAAGTCAATGAAAACATATTAAAAAAAAAAAAAAAAAAAAAAAAAAAACGGAAAAAAAAAAAAAAAAAAAAAA